TTGCGAAATGTCATTTTTCCGAAATGTCATTTTTGCGAAATGTCATTTTTGCGAAAAGTCATTTTTACGAAAAGTCACTTTTACGAATTGTCATTTTTGCGAAAAGCCATTCTTGCGAAATGTCATTTTTGCGAAAAGCCGTTTTTGCGAAATGTCATTTTTACGAAAAGTCATATCAGCAAAAAGTCAATTTTGCGAAATGTCATTTTTACGAATTGTCATTTTTGCGAAAAGTCATTTTTACGAAAAGTCATTTTTGCGAAAAGCAAATTTTGCGAAATGTCATTTTTACGAATTGTCATTTTTGCGAAATGTCACTTTTACGAATCGCCATTTTTACGAATTGTCACTTTTGCGAATCGACATTCTTACGAAATGTCATTTTTACGAATTGTAATTTTTGCGAAATATCATTTTTGCGAAAAGTCATTTTTGCGAAATGTCATTTTTACGAAAAGTTATTTATGCGAAAAGTCATTTTTGCGAAATGGCATTTTTACGAATTGTCATTGTTGCGAAAAGCCGTTTTTGCGAAATGTCATTTTTGCGAAAAGCCATTTTTACGAAAAGTCATTTTAGCGAAAAGTCAATTTTGCGAAATGTCATTTTTACGAATTGTCATTTTTGCGAAAAGTCATTTTTACGAAATGTCATTTTTGCGAAAAGTCAATTTTGCGAAATGTCATTTTTACGAATTGTCACTTTTGCGAAATGTCATTTTTGCGAAAAATACAATAGTAAACTAGTAGTATATATAGATTCACTATTGTATTTTTCGCAAAAATGACAATTCGTAAAAATGACATTTGGCAAAATTGACTTTTCGCAAAAATGACATTTCGTAAAAATGACTTTTCGCAAAAATGACAATTCGTAAAAATGACATTTCGCAAAAATGACATTTCGCAAAAATAGCTTTTCGTAAAAATGACATTTCGCAAAAATGACATTTCGCAAAAACGGCTTTTCGCAACAATGACAATTCGTAAAAATGCCATTTCGCAAAAATGACTTGTCGCAAAAATAACTTTTCGTAAAAATGACATTTCGCAAAAATTACTTTTCGCAAAAATGATATTTCGAAAAAATTACAATTCGTAAAAATGACATTTCGTAAAAATGTCGATTCGCAAAAGTGACAATTCGTAAAAATGGCGATTCGCAAAAGTGACATTTCGCAAAAATGACAATTCGTAAAAATGACATTTCGCAAAATTTGCTTTTCGCTGATATGACTTTTCGTAAAAATGACATTTCGCAAAAATGACATTTCGCAAAAACGGCTTTTCGCAAAAATGACATTTCGCAAGAATGGCTTTTCGCAAAAATGACAATTCGTAAAAATGACTTTTCGTAAAAATGACTTTTCGCAAAAATGACATTTCGCAAGAATGGCTTTTCGCAAAAATGACAATTCGTAAAAATGACTTTTCGTAAAAATGACTTTTCGCAAAAATGACATTTCGCAAAAATGACATTTCGGAAAAATGACTTTTCGCAAAAGTGCAGTTCGCAAAAATGACATTTCGCAAAAATGACATTTGGGGAATAATCATGCGCCCCTTTAATCTTAATGTAATATTGCAGTAATATTACCGGGCAATATTACTGTAATGTTACTGTAATATTACGTGCTACATGGGTTCAAGAAAATACGAAGGTTAATATAAGTAAATATTTGTTTCAAGTTGATTAAAAATTATATTCAATTAATCCCATATTTATTTGAAGAAAGAAATTCATTTTCTTGTGTCAAGTAATTATTAGCATTGAACAGAATTCTTGAATTAACAATTTAGTATTTGTCAGAACTCAATATATAATTATTTCAACCAAATATTTTACTTTTCCGAAGTACCAAAAAGTATTGAATCTAGAATATCATGTTCTTAAGCGAAATAATAAAGTATTGTGTGGAGAATTCATGTTTCTTGAATCGAATCATTTTATTTATTTGCTTTGAAACTTTTTTTTACTTAACACAATGCCGGTGTTCTTAATCCAAGAAAATATTTTTCTTCAAATGTATATGCAACTTAAATATCAGTTTTTGAAAACTGTCCATTGAGGCTAGTATGGCATAGTGGTAGCGTGACGGCTTCTGGTGCGTGCAACCCGAGTTCAATTCCTCCGACCGTGGAAAATTTTCTTTCAAGGTATATTTGTTATATTTGTGTTAAGTAATAATTAAATGTAAATATATATGTAAAATAACAATTATTTAATTATTTAAATAAAAAATATAAATGTTAATTAATTAAATAATACACTGAGAGAAATGGATAGTCAGATTTTGATGTTAAAAAGATGATGTTACACGATACTATTATTATGCTACTGCCAACCATCACAGATGCTAAAAAAAATATAGTTATGCTACCCCGTACTACCAAGATGTTACTCCTGATGATATTGATGGTAACGGTGACTATCTAGATAGCTGTCTGTATACGTAGCATTAAAGATGGTCACCCTAACCACAATTATGTTACCCACTACTATAAATTTCTCTCCGTGTAAAAATGTTTGACCTAAGTATTAGAAAAGATGGGATGGGGGTAAGGGGGGAGGGGTAATTTAAGTAAATAATTTACTTGTATTGAGAAAGTATTTTTTTGATTGAAATCTATAAATTTTCTCAAATCAAGAAAATATTTTCTTGGACAGAGAACATACTTTCTTGATTTGATACATAAATGATTTTGAATCAATATATTCTGCATTTCTTACATTCTACTTAATTTCTTGATCGAATTCCATATTTTCTTGGATCAAGAATATCTGCGTTCTCTCACAAAATAAATGTTTTCTTCATTTAAATCTTGAATTACTTGAACGAATGTTACAAAAAATTGAATGAATCAAATAAAATAATTCAATTATCTATATATATTCTTAGATCAAGAAAATATTTTATTCATTTAATACATTTTATATTTCGTACAAGTCGATTAACTTCTTGGTCGAATTCCATATTTTCTTGGATCAAGAATATATGTTCTTCTCCCAAATATCCTATGTCAAAAAATCGTTTTCTTGAATCAATACTTTAATAGTCTTGGCCATATTCAATCCCACGATTTGCTTCAACCAAGAAAAATTTTCTTGGTTCAATACTTTTTTTTTCAGTGTAGTTTTTGAACAGAACTTGAAAGATACGTAGTTTCCAAAACAATCCTCTAACTTATGTGATTTCTCATACAAATATGGAAGATGGGTAACTTCCAAAATGTTTTTTAAACATAGTAGGTACATTGGACTTTAGGGTGAACAAAAAATGTAAATGAATTTCTCAAAAGAATTTAATTATTTTCATAAAATTCTATACAAAAATTAAATTATTTCAGATTCAAAATTATAAAAAGTTACAAAAATTACAAAAAATAGTATAAAAGTTAATATAAAGTGTTATAAAAAATTTAATATTTTAAAATAAAAAAAATTTCAAAAAATAAGTTTATTTATAAAATTTTTTGCAATAATATTATCACAAAATTTGATCTTTAAATTTCAATTAGTAAAAATTTAAACTAATTAGAACAAATAGCATGTGAATTTTATAAAAGTTAATTTTTTAATTCTGCATAGAACAAGACATTAAAATAAATAAAATTCTGTGTTTCTTATAGAAAATAAATTTTCAAAAAACTATTTTGCATTAATATCAATTCATTTTTCTACAATATTATTATAAGTAACTATTTTCATACATTAGAATGTTAAATTAATATTACTAATATTATTAAATTAATATAGGTTAAATTTCAAAAAACAATTTTTGTTAAAATTTCTAAAAAATAATTGAATTGAAAAGTTGAAAATACTTTTTGATAAGTTACAGTAGCAATTCTTGTAAATTACTGAATTTGGAATTTTTAAAAATCTTAATTCCCGTGAAAAAATAATAACAATGTTTTAAAAAAATCTATTGATGTTCCGAATAATTTTACTTAATCTTCAGTATCTAATTATTTTTATAGTGAACTAAAATATTTTTCTTCTGTCTGGAAAGTAGAAAAAAATAAAATAAAATTTATTACTTTTAAAAATTATAAATTCTTGTGATGAATATTGTTATTTATGAAAATAATTTTATTTTGCAAAGAATTTTATTAAATTTCCTCAAAATAATTGAATTTTCGGGAATAATTTTGTTATTTATCGACATAATTGAATTTTTGGGAAGAATTTTATTAAAATTTTTTGTTTATAAATTTAATTTCTCCATGAAAAATGTAATTATTAGTGAAAAAATTTGAATTATTGTGAAAAATTGTATCAAAATTTTGTTAAATAAATGACTTTTTCGAAATTTTTTTGAAAATACTATTCCAAATTAATTGAATTCTTGTGGAAATTTTATTATTTATGAAAATAATTGAATTCTATTGTGAAATTTCATGGAAATACTAGATATTGAGAATAAAGTAGTAAATAGTAGATTTTAGTAGATGAGTGCGAAACCTGCTAAAATTGATGTCCCATCAAAGAAAAATATGACAAAAATGAAAAAAGAAATTAAATGTTGCAGAAAGAATGAAATTGTATTTTTCTAGAAAATGAAATCCCTTGGGAGAAATTAATTGATTTTGAAAATCGTGAATAATATAACTGAAAAAATTGAATTCTAAATTAATTAAAGGGTCAACGCTTTTAGGGCGCATGTAGATGCGAATAAAAGAGAGATCGGTGAGTGGGAGGAAAAAAAGGGTGGAGATTGAAGTAGAGAAAAAAAGTAATTAAATTTTCTCACATGTCAATTCATTGACTGCCTTAGTCATAAAAGAATAGAGTAATAATTAGGGTAAAAAGAATAACAGTTTTTTGAGTTAAGTTTGAAAAACTGACCATTAAGTAAGCGAGAGAGAGGGAGGGAGGGAGGGAGAGTGAATGAAATGAGCTCTAATTCGCTAAAAGTAGAAATAAAGGAAGAAAAAACATTGACATATGTAAAAATGTGAAACTAATGAGAGAAAAGTGATAAGTATAAAAAAAATTACCTGGACAAATTTCCGAACCATGATACCACGTTCTCTTTACACACCATTGCCAGACAACATTGATACCACTTGGAGCTAGAAAAAGCGGCGATTCAAAGAGGTCTGCTCAAATCCTACTGTAAATTTAGCACGTGACAGTACAAAATTTTGTTGCCTCGGAAAGAATTTAGCAAGTCAAGTTAATACTTTGTCTTTTTTATCACATAAAATGAAATTTACTAACCACTGAACACTCGTTATTACCCGTTCAGCGCCCACACTCGGTAGCTATCAAATTGATATAATTGCAATTCCTAATAAAGTAACGCAATGAATCGAACAGCGGACAAGTTTAATTAAAAGTCGTGAACCTAGTGCTTGTCATACTAACATCATTCTTTTTGCAATACGAAAATAATCTTTATCCTCTTTATCTGAATCTTAAAAGAACTTAAAAACCAAAGTTCCGAAATTTATTAAGGGGCATTCATATCATGAGAACCAGGGGGGCAGTGCTGGGAAGATATCGTTGGGAATTCAAATCATCGGGGTGCAGACTTTAGGGTGCATTTACACTTCAGGCTGGAGGGACTAAAATGTAATATTAAAAGTTATTATTTTCAAAATAACTTTTACTATTTTACTATTTTCAAAATGTATAAAAATAAAATTTCAATTTTAATAAAATTCTTGTCAAAATTTCAATTATTTTCAAAAATTTTACTCAATTCAATGCTTTTAATATTCTACTATTTTAATAAAATTCTTTGCAATATTTCAATTATTTTAAAAATTTTAATAAAATTCTTCGTATCAGTGCAATTATTTTAAAAAAATTTTATAAAGCTTTTTATAAGAGTTAAATTTTAAGACGTATTTAATTATTCAATAAATTATTTATTTTTGTAATTAAGTAATTGATTTCTCATATAGAACGCTTTAATAAGAATTCATTTAAAAATGAATTCCAGATAAAGTTTTAGATAATAATTGAATATTAAAAGAAATAAAGAGTGAAATTTTTAGATGTAATTGAATTTTTTTTTGAAATTATTTAAAGTTTTTATTTTCTAATATAATATTTAATTGAAGAATTTTCGAATAAACGAAATTTCGCAAAATTTAATTGTAAAAAAATGGAATTGAAGAAATCTCAAAGAACTTTTTCAAAAATTATTAAAAATAATTGAATTAAAGAAGAATTTTAGTTAAAAATTCTGGAAAATCCCTGAAATAAGGCGTCTCAACTAGGGTGACCATATGTCTTAGTTGACAAAGCAGGACATTACCTCCACTTTTTCCCCCTCTTCTTCTCTTCGTTAATAAAAATTTTAATTGTTGCACGCTGTATAAATAAAATAAATATTATTCCTGTAATAAATACAGTTATTAATTAATGACAAATTTTAATTAGTTTCAAATATTATATTCCTGAATATGCTTTATATATTCTTAAAAATAATTTGCCATAATAGGTACTTAAAATTGTAAATACAAAAAAATTTAACTAAATATCAAAAAGTACCACAGAAGTCTTTTAGGTTTTTAAATACTTTTTGAACTTCAAATTTTTTTAGTAAGTCATTGTTATACTTATTGTATATTAACCATAAAAGCTGTGTTGCTATTCGAATATTATCTAGTGCAAATATTAAAATTTATGAAAAAGCAGGACATTAGTAAAAAAAGGCAGGACAGCAGGACAGACGTTAAAAAATAAGGACATGTCCTTCCAAAGCAGGACGTCTGGTCACCCTAGTCTCGACAAATAAAACATTTGCTAGCAACTGTAGAAATACCTTTACAGAGGGTGTGAACGCGGACATTTTTCGACGCAACCTAAGGTTGAGTCCACAATAGCACTCTTGAACGGGACGTAACGTAAGGCTGCGGTTACACCTCTGCAGGCAGCCTGCCTGCCTGCAGGTTGTCATGGTAACGTACAAGAGTAAGAGAGTCAGTGACTTCGAACTTTTCTTTTACTCTCGTTGCTCCTGCCTGCGCAGGCAGGCAGCCTGCAGAGGTGTAACCGCAGCCTAAAGGCGCTTGCACACTTCCAAATTTTTAGGCGAGCAGCGAATTTTCACGGCCTTGAAATGCACATTACTAAACATGATTGGCTCTGACAAAGTACATTTTCACGCAGCTTTTTGTAGAGCCAATCATATTTAGTAATATGAGTTTCAAGGCCATGAAAATTCGCTGCTCGCCCAAAATTTTGGAAGTGTGCAAGCGCCTTAAAGGTGCTTCTATACCTCCGGTGGATTGGTCAAGCAATCGGCTCGATGAATTTTCACGGTCGGAAAATGTACTTTCATGGCGGGTATTTTTGAATAAGTAAATGTTGAAAAGGTTTTTACTTGAAAATTTATTTAAAAAAATGATTTTATCATAGAAATTCTTTTGAAATTTATGTTAAAAAACATGTTTTATTTTAAAAGTTATCAAATTTTAATTCAAAATGTTTTAATTTTCCAAAGAAGTGTAAAAAGCCTAATGTTTTTGAAATGCTAGTACAGACGGTACAGACTGTTTGTTATGAATGTACATAACCTAGCGTTGTGTTGTCGTGCTTGTGATATTATTATATTCTAAATTTAATGATTTAATTATATTAAATAATAATGAACAGACAACACAACGCTAGGTTATGTACATTCATAACAAACAGTCTGTACCGTCTGTACTAGCATTTCAAAAACATTAGGCTTTTTACTCTTCTTTGGAAAATTAAAACATTTTGAATTAAAATTTGATAACTTTTAAAATAAAACATGTTTTTTAACATAAATTTCAAAAAAATTTCTATGATAAAATCATTTTTTTAAATAAATTTTCAAGTAAAAACCTTTTTAACATTTACTTATTCAAAAATACCCGCCATGAAAGTACATTTTCCGACCGTGAAAATTCATCGAGCCGATTGCTTGACCAATCCACCAGAGGTATAGAAGCACCTTAAAGGCGCTTGCACACTTCCAAAATTTTGGGCGAGCAGCGAATTTTCATGGCCTTGAAACTCACATTACTAAATATGATTGGCTCTACAAAAAGCTGCGTGAAAATGTACTTTTGTCAGTGCCAATCATATTTAGTAATGTGCATTTCAAGGCCGTGAAAATTCGCTGCTCGCCTAAAAATTTGGAAGTGTGCAAGCGCCTTAAGGCTTGCACACTTCCAAATTTTTAGGCGAGCAGCGAATTTTCATGGCCTTGAAACTCATATTACTAAATATGATTGGCTCTACAAAAAGCTGCGTGAAAATGTACTTTGTTAGAGCCAATCATATTTAGTAATGTGCATTTCAAGGCCGTGAAAATTCGCTGCTCGCCTAAAAATTTGGAAGTGTGCAAGCGCCTTTAACATGACCAGACCTACAGAGTTTTTGACCATAAAACCAAAGTTGCTGCAAAACTCATGTTTAACCGCAACGGGAGTGGCACCACTGTTTGGTATGTTATCTAGAGTCTGGAATTTTATAAAACACAGTGATTAATATTTTAAGACGAGATTTATTGCAAAAGTTTAGAGGACTGAAATATATCTAAAATATTGTGTTTATTATTAGCTGTTCAGTATTAAGTAACTGCATCGATTTTTAATTTCTCATTCACGGAACTCTTGTTGCTAAGTAGACTAATATTGCTGTTGACCGTATTTGACAACAAACTCATCATCTTGCAAAAATGGTTGTCAAAATTTATGTTTCTGGAATCAGTGGCAATAAAGAAGTAAGTAAATACATTTTATTTCCTAAATTTACCCCAATGATTGTGTAGTTGAAAAAGCTCGCACTCTCAATGTCAATATGGTACATATTCAGCGAGAAAAATAAATTCATTATCACTGCCCAGGTATTTATCTCGATATATACTATATATGGGACGAATAATGAAAGTAGAATGTTCGGTTTTTGAGCGCAATGCAACCAGTGATAACAGAGAATTTCGTCTTTTTTGATTAAAGAGAAATTTCTTTTGCTTTCTCTTTATAGAGGAACATTGTACAGTTTCAATCAAGTTTTAAATCCGGTATATGCATAAAAGGATTTATAACATAACCTCAATTTTTAAATAAAATATTTCAAACAATACGAAAAATTATTTAAATGTCTATCAGATCAAAAACCTCAAATATTTTATAATATTTTTTGGTAAAAAAATAAAATAAGTAACATCACTTGAGAAATATTACTCGAATATAATTATATAAGCATTATAAAATTATTTGTAGAACTTCCGAAAAAATGCATTACTTGCGAAATATGAAACTACAATTGAATTTTTTTTCTTTCGTCAGCGCAGTTTTAAGTTCATGCTTAGAGTACGGAATATGTATAAAAAATTTCATATGGGCGAATTTCTCTTTTTTTAAAAACTATTTTCTAATTCTTTTTGTTTAAAAATAAACGATTTCTAATGAAATCAGTTTTCTAAAAAAAGTTTTTCTAATATTTATTTTCCAAAAATTTGTAAAATTCCATAATTTTGATAAAAGTTGGAAAGTTGTTAAAAAAACTTAAGATTAAGAAATAGAAACTATTTTACATATTTTCTGTTTCTCAATCACAATTTCGTTTACGAAATTGAAGCCGCGCGTCGAAAAGGGATCATCGAAATCCTGGAAAATTGTTGTTTTCTAAAGTTATTGTGTTTATTCTTGAAATCTAATTTCACTTAAATATTTCAAAATTAATTCAATTTTAAAAGAATTGCGTTTACAATTTTCATAAGTAGATAAACTTCAAAAGATATTGATTTCAAATTTTGTAAAATTTCAATTTTAAATTAATTTAATTAGAAATATAAAACAACTTAGATTTAAAGAAAATTTTAAAAACTAAAATTCTTCTGAAATTAGTTAATTTTTTAAATATTTAATTGATTATTAAAAATAATGGATTTATAGAAGAATTTTAGTTAAAACCAAATTGAAGTCCACAACGTTGATCAACGAAAAAAAATTGTTCACTAAGTAAATTAATTAAAGATTACGCAGCAATATTGCCACAAATATATTTAGAAAAAAAAGATTGATGTTTATGTTTTGATAATAATTATTGTACAATTAAATATTAAATTAAAAAAAATACTTGAATGCATTAAATACATTTTTTCCGTTGATAAACGTTGTGGACTTCAACTTCGTTTTGCTACAATTTATTTATTAGAATTTAAGTATTATTTTTAGGTAATACATTTTTAATTAAATTTCTTTAAAGAATAAAATTATTTTTAAAAATTTTAATGAAATTCTTTCAGTAACAATTCAATTGTTTTCAAAATAATTTTAATAAAATTTTTCGCAGAAATCAAATTATGTTTAAAAATTTACAAAAATTCTCATCAAAATTTCAATTATCTTTTTAAATATTAAAATTTTTCTTTGAAATTCAATATTGTTTTTCAAAACTTTTAATAAAATTCTTGGCAGACTTTCAATTATTTTTAATACAATTTTCATGAAATTTCTCGAAAAATAAATACTTTTAATTAAGAATTCTATAGAATTAATTTTTCTCAATAAGTTTAACCCTTAAACTGCACACTTCCGAATCCATCCTTAAACCGCACACTGGGTGTGCGACACCCGGGGACTTTAAAGTGTGTTCAAGCTGTGTGTCCAAGCTGGAAAAGGATATTATGGTTCAGAAAAATTATCTTATGTAGCTCAGTACATCTATTTTGAAGGAAAATAAGTTTCATAATGATTTATTTAATCTTAATATGAAAAAAATGTTTTTTAAAACTACTGAAATCACCTTAAACCGAAAACTGGGTATCAGCCACCCAGAAATTTTTCGCTGTTAATTTCATAAAGTTATCAAATACACAAAGACACTTGGGAGACTAATGTCCCTCACGGAACATAAAGTTAAGTACAAAATGTGTCGTCCAATAGCGACATATGTTCAATTTTTACGACTTTAAACGAGATATTAGAGTAAAAAGCTAGAATATGGGTGTCGCACACCCAGGGTGCGGTTTAAGGGTTAATGGAATTTTTTTAATTATTTGAAGTTTTCAATTTTTAACATATTTAATTGAAGAATGTCAGAATAATCGAAATTTCGTAAAATTAAATTGTAAACAAAAGAATTTGAAAATTCACAAAGAACTTTTTTAAAAACCACAACCAAGCCTATTCCCCCATTCCAAGAAATACAATTAGTTTCAACAAATTTTATAAAATTCTTTACAAAACGTGAATTATTTTTTTCAATATAATTCCAATTAAATTATTCGATTAATTTAATTATTTTCAGAAATTTAAAATGTTTAAGTTTACCTACTTTCGATTCACAGTCATCGAAATGAGCAACTCAAAAAAGGACAATTTCATTAAAGTCAATCATTTAAATTTGTATATTATCTCAATTTTTGTCATTGGATTTTTAATTTTAATTGAAATCGATTTTATAAATGTTTAAAGAATTTATTATTGAATGGATAAGTTGACAAGTTTTTAATTTATTTTAGGTGAAGAAAAGACAACAAAGAGTATTGATGATTCTTGATAGTAAGAATGTAGTATACGAAGTAATTGACATTACTGAACCTGGCAAAGAAGATGAAAAGGAATTTATGCAAACTATGAGTACTGCAAGGGATAGTAAATATCCGTTACCTCCTCAAATATTCAATGAAGATGACTACTGTGGGGTATGTAAATTAAAAATTTTAACGTTAATTTTTTTTATTCTGCCATCGTTTAATTTCGTTATAACTAACAGTCTCTTAATAATTTCTGATATTTTTTCATAATATGGAAAAACTACTATCTTATCTTTAATTTTATTGCAATTGTTATCATTATCATTATTATTATTATTGACGTTGGTATTAAGTGACTCTTTACTATTAATTTCAACTGTTCTTTTTTTAAACATGTTTATTAATAAAATCGTCAGGATTTTAATATGGCTGAGGAATTTGTTAAAAATTTATCGGAATTGCCTGAAACGTTATAGTCGGGAGTTTTTGAAAACTAAGGTGAAATTCGTATTCAGCTACCGCAAAAACTTCCGAGTATAACGTTTACTTGACCTAAAATTGTTTTACGTATAATATCTGTGTTCCAGGATTATGAAGGTTTTGATTTGGCTAATGAGAATGATGAATTGGAACAGTTTCTCAAATTATCAATTTCCATCAGCACAGCGGAAGTCACGTTGAATTCCAAGTCCCAAAACAAAGAAGTTCATCAGAATGGTAACACATCTAGTCGAGAGGTAACGATAATAATACTTAATTTTATGCATGCTAACTTCGTTAACCAAATACTATCATTTTTAAATAATCGGAAATTTCTGCTTACCTGAAAATATTAATATTAATGTTTTAGATTATACGGTAAATATTAGGCTTTAGTCGGACACTTTTTAAATTCCTCGCTAAATTTCGTAAAACTGTGAAAATAAAATTTAACTTACTATCATTGTTTAAATAAATAAGTTATTGCAATAAAATTCTTTACAGAATTTCATCAGTTTATTGAAAATGAAATAATTTTTGTTATATTTTTCAAGTTAAAAGTTATTTAGATTAAAAAATCAATAAATTTCCAATTTTATGAAAAAAAATTAACAATCTGTACGTGTTATGTACTTCAAAAATTTGTTTGTTATCGCCGAATTAATATTAAAATTTAATTCCTTTGCAAAATAACAAAATTTTTAATTTAAAAGAGATAATACCGAGGAATTTTTCACATAAAATTTTAATAGTTACCTTACTTTTTCAGTGCCAAAAAATTTTAAGTAATATGCAGTTATACAGTTCTTATCTTAATATTGTGACATTGTTTTTTATTACAGCATTAAATTGTTTTACTTCAAAGTATATTATTAGCTGAAATTTTATTTTTATAACATCAAAAGCTTAAAAAATTGTAAGAAAATGATTTCTTATTAAAATAAAGATGTCGTTTTCTTTTAACCACTTGTGAGAAGAAAAGATTTCATTAATATTAATTTATTTAACTATTTTAAATTTAAATTAATACTCAATATAAAATAGTAATGTAAAGGTCAATTCTTTGATTAAAAATTCATATTTTTGAAAATCTCTTATATTTTTATAAAAAATTTTAATTCATAAGAGGAAAGTTATTTTCAAAATTTTTATTTCTAAAACTAAATAAAAATTTTTAATTTGTGTTTCAAGAGACAAAATTTTAAAAACTGGCAATGGTTATATTTTCCATTTCTTAATAACAATTTGTTAACGATTTTTGTAATAGTTTTTTATAAATAAAGAAAAAACTTGTATAATTTAAATTTGGAAAAATTTTTTATAGGATTAAAATGAAAAAAATTTGCATGATTTTGGTTTGTGAATTATAATGTATGTCACAAAACAAATAATAAGAACCAAGAACATAAGTATAAATGACTGACTTCAGATGCGGACAGAATGAATGAAAGAATGAATATAAAAATTATTATACAATATAAATTTTATAAAGTAAATAATATGTTTTACATTGAATAATATTTTATAGATATATGTGAAAAGTACGATAAAATAAAAGACAGATGCAACAGGAAAGCAATAAAATATACTTTTATGTGAATTTCTTTTATACTAACGGCTTTGCCCAATTTTATGGTATTCGATTTTATTAAAATCAATTTACCAACACAGACCTCGTACTCATCTACTAAAATTGTTTTATTTTTGTTTCAATTAAAAAATAGTTTTAATTTTAATTGTTGTAAAGCTAATAATATTTAAATTTTTATTTTGAAATCAAATGATTAAAGTTTTAAATATTTTAATTTAAACATTTCAACAAAAAAAAATGATTGAATTTTGGAAGAATCACAGTTGTAATTTTTAGAAATAGTTACATTTCGAAAAGACTTTACATTGAAATCATTTAAAATATAACTAGGCAGTAGTCGGCCACCTCTAAATTTTGAATAACTACAAATCCATATGAGATAAAAAAATTTTTTTTTTTGCTAAACGTTGGTAGTATTATTGTTAATGACCCTATACATTATTTTGCAATCGAAAAAAATATTGTTTTTAAAGGTTTTTGAGCCTGTGGCCGACTACTGTCTGGTTTACCCTATTTAAATATTTATTTAAAAAAATTATTCAATTTTTGTATATAATTCAATTTATAGAAATTATGAAAAAATTGAGACGTGAAATTTAATTTTTCGATAACTACTTTCTTACTACTCTTTTTTAGTTTTAAAGCTGCTTTTTGCTACTCTTTTTGAAATTAATTATCGAGTACGAAGCCTGTAAACTAAATTCTTTAATAAATTTTTAATTAACGACAGTAATAAAAGTTTTTGTAATTTGATATTTTTATTATTCTTGCAGCCATCCACAGACAAAGACGATGCTACAGCAATAACAGAAAGGTGATTATAAAGCTAATCATGAAGAAGTACAGAGGAAAGTTAATTTTGTCTTACAAAATTTTGCACGCATTTTTCATCCTTAACTATTTATAAATATTTGAGAAATTTATTCGGGAAACGATATAAAATAGAAAAAAAAGTATTATCTGAAAGAATTAGCTTCAAATTTACGAATATAATTCCTATATGGAATTTCGAAGAAGTTTGCTTACTGCTTGGCTGTTCAAACCAAACTACAGACTAAAAAAAAAGTGTTCGAGAGAAATAAAACAAAAATATTTAAGTCTGTTTGTCCCTGTGTTGACAGCATGGAGGAAAGAAGAACATCAGTAGTAAACGAAGAAGAAAGAGCATCTGGTAATTCCGAACGTAGAGATTCAGAAAGCGAAGTAAAAGACATTTCCGAAGAGGATATTGAACATGTTGAAAAGGTTGGGGAAACAAATGAAGACACACCAGGCGACCAAGAGACGGAAGAGTAAATAAATAATGTCCTATTTGGTATGGAGTATGCTAAAAAAATTCTCTTTATTTTTTATCGCTTATTTTAACATATTTCTTTTTTTGCAAAATTAGGTAAATTAGGACATAACCAAATAAAGGAATTGCCGAATAAAAATGTTATCGGCGTTAATACAGCTGCGTTAATGACATACAGATTTATTTATACAGTGCGCGCAAATCTTTATTTGTTAATTAAAATATCAATGTTTGAACAAAAGTTTCAACATTTTATATGTTTTAAAAGATTCTTCTTACTGGAACATGTATTTCAAGATAAATGATTTGTATTTTATTGTCAACTTCTCCATAATATTTGGTACATTATCACAATAGATTTAATTCTCAGAAAAAAAATTGCTTTTGAACAGAAAAGTTTAACTTTATCGTTTATGTCTTTAAGCGCTTACATATGTTCAAAGAACAAATTTGTTTTTAAAAATTAAAATTTTTTTCTGGAAAATTCAAGTGACAAAGAACATGAATGTTGTCAAAATTCTGATATTCCTGAGACTTATTTCTATTGCAAAATTTGTATTTGTTCTCCAAGTTTACTTGTAAAGATTTACTTTTGAATGTCATGATTAGGGTTTAATTATGTATAACAGAAAAGTGCAATTTTTCATAAATGATGCTTCATAAAGTAAATAAATGTTGAATTCAATTCAATTTAACAATGTTATCATTTTAAATATGATAAATTCGAAAAAAAGTAAAATTGTGTTTTTATATTCTTTTCCTGAATCTTCGTTTTATAATCCTTTAAGTATTTGTTAAAATCATTTTAAATATTCTCACTCATGAAATTCATTAATTCTTGTCAAAATTGCATTCTTGACATGAAAACGAATCGATTCATGTATGTAAAGTATATATTTTATCAATATTTGTAAAATGAATCGCTATTTCTATTTTTCACAAAAAATTGAAATTTTGTATTTTTGTAAATTTGTTTCTTAATAGGTACTTTAAAATAATTATTCTATAATAAAAAGTTAAGCAATTGGTATATATTATATTGAGGAAGCTAAATGATCATGTTTATATTTTGTAAAAAAAAAGTAATTCTTATTAAATATTTTAGATGTAATAAGAATTTAAATATAATTTAAGTATTAATACATGACGACATAAATAATAATTAAATTAAAAAAAAAAAAATAAGCCAACAGCACGCGGTATTCCCAAGCGGTCACCCATCCAAGTACTAACCGCGCCCAAAGATGCTTAACTTCAGTGATCGGACGAGAACTGGTTTTTTCATCGTGGTGTGGCCGTTGCCTGTGTATTTAACTGTTGTTAACCTTGAGAGGGCCGGGGTGGCCACTATAGTGGCCACCATAAATTTTCACTACTATTTTTATCGAATTGACTTTTTATTTAATTTTACTTAATAAAAAACTAGTAAAATTTTTAAAAATTTTCCGGCCCTCTAAAGGTTAAAGTTTCACATTAGTACATGGGCAAACCGTATTATACTTTTTCCTTGTAAAAATAACGTCTTTTTCAATTTTTATCACGTTTCAAATAAGTATTTTAGCTTTCAATTTGAAATTCACTCAGTTTGAAGAAATTTGGCTTCCTCTCAAAGGAAGCCTTAAGGGGCTAGCACAGCTCCTACCGCCTGCCTGCATGCAGGTTGTCATGGTAACACATAAGAGTAAGAGAGTCAGAAAATTCAAATTAAATGTTTTTTCTCTCTCACTCTCATTGCGCAGGCAGGCAGGCAGTAGAGGTAAGAGTGTTTAATAGTGATATTGATTTTCGAATTTCTTAGAATCAATTATTTTTACAAATTTTCAAGTTTGTTCACCATTTTTCAATGAATTAAAAAATAATAATTCAAAAAGCCCTTTTACTCTCTTTTAATCTCTCAACAATTTACATCTATATAAAAGGTTACAATTTCATAAAAATAAATAATTAACTACAATTAACAGCATACACAAAAAATACAGTATATTGAATTTTGTAAAATTTCCATTTTGTGTATTATATTTTACTGTTAGTTTTTCAATACTCTTAGAAGATTCATTGATTTTACTTAGTTTATTTCATTTTTGTTGTTAGCAATAAAATATTTGCTAAATTCAATTAGTCTGTACCAAAATACTTTTGTCCGAAATGGTTTGGTGCTATGTAATGAATTTCCGATGTAAGTATCTTCATCTGAAAAAATAAAAATATCAAAATTAATTTTTAATACAACCAGCTGGGCCACTGGAACATAAAAACAGTGTTTTTTTATTTAACCCAACTCAGACTTATTGATATTATCATCTGCATTTCAATGGTTTACAGTGAAATTGCAATATCGCGGATATTTTAAAAATTGAATTCATTTACTTGAGGCATGGTACTCGGTGACTAGTGATTAGTGACTAGTATTAGAGTAAAAAATTGTCCGGATAAGGATTATTATTAATCTACAAAATATAGCTTACCTGTGGAAATGCAGTAACAAGACTTTTTGCAGCAAAGGGCGTGCAAAACAAATTGGAAAGTATTATGTTGTCTTCTTTCACATTGTGTTCTTTTAAGACAGCTATGGCTTTTATCACAGTATTACCAGTACCTAAAAACCAATGTTTCGTAATAATATAAATAATGAATTTTAATATTACTTCAAATTACTTGAAATTGGTTAGAATTTTAAATTAGAAATATCAAAAGTTTCATCTTTTTTAAAAATTAATAGAACATGGCAAATTATTAGAATTTTAAATTAGAAAAAATTTTTTCTCTCCTAACAACAACCAATTTTATCCTTTTCATCAAAGTCATGGTCAAGTTCGAGCATACAGATCTCTTTCCAATATGAAAGTTTGTCAGCAACTGTTTCGCGAGATGATTGCTGATTTTCATCGAAACTGCATTTACGTATTGTATAGTTTGATCAAAATTAAAAATGACGGCAAATCGCCTGATTTTATTTTTAAAACTCTTCGTTCTTTGTCTTCGCTAAGATGATGATGTAAGAAACAGACAGACTATTAAATTTCAAGGAACTAAGTCTGGTTCTTGCATCACGGTGTTCGATCAATTATGAGTTCGATACTAATACTTTTCTAGGGTGGGAACAGTTAGGAAATTTTACCTTATATAAAAGTAATTTTAAAATACTAACTCATAATAGGATACATTAGCAAGACTTTTCTGTCAGAAATATCGTCTGGAAATTTGGCATACACTACTCTCGCTTCGTGTGTATCCATGTCGCTTTCAACTAATATTTTACCAATCCTTATACTGCGGCAACAATCACGAAGACCCTTTTACAAATATTTAGATATTAATTAATGTGATTCAAGTTTATTAAATACCAGTGTCATCAAAACAATTTCAATCGTCTTTTCACATAAATAATTATGTTTTGTTATCATTATCCACTTATGAAAATGTAGAAAAAGCTACGATACCTGTTCCATTGCTTCACCACTTCTCACTATAGAAACACCACAATTTCCTTTTTGGTATTTCAGTCCTTTATATTTAGCACCAGTTGGTGTGGTTATTACACATTTCGAAAAAGGTAATTGATTTAAACTTTCTTCGATTACTAACCTAATCTAAAAGGAAAAAATGAAACAAATATTAGTTTAAAATATAAATTATGAAAAAAACAGACAGATAAATTTGTTGAAATTTAAAAAATTACATGCAGTAAATATAAAAAATAATTATTTACCAATCTGTCTGCGTAGAATTTAAAATCACTTCTTGAAGTATTTCTGAAAATAAATGAGTAAACCAAGTTTATAGTTTGAAAAAATGTTTCTAATAATTATACAAAAGAAATTATACTTGACACTCTTCTAATACTCACTTATCACGTAAAATTGTTTGTAACTCCTTGACTTGATCATTGCAAGGCAGTAATTTTAAGTTTTGTCCATATTCTTCACTAATGTCATTTTCATTTATACATTTTTTAACAGTTGATATTGTATCTGCGCTTCCCATAATAAATGCAGACCTATATGAAATTTGGGAAAATCCGTAAAAAGAAATGTTTTGAGATAAAATTCCATTTCTTTATTTGATTTTTCAGGCTTTGCACTCGTTAATTAATTTTAAAAAATTACTTCTTTTCTAATTCTAAATTATTTTTTAAAATTCAATTATTTTCCAAAAATTTTAGTAATAATTCTTCAAAAGTACGATTATATGTACTTCAAAATGTTTTTTAAAATTAAAAAAATTAAATTCTTTAAAATATATGATTTACTATATCAACAATTCGAGCGCGGCTGATTTTTACTCGCTTTTTTAAATAAAATTAGTAATTTTGAAAATAATTACAATTTTCACAAATAAATGAACTTCAAATGGTTTCAATTTGAAATTTAATAAAAGTTCAATGTTGAATTAATTTTATTATAAATTTTAATCAACTTAGATTTTTGAAAAATTTTAATAATTCAAAATCATCTAAAATTAGTTAAATTTGTCAATATATATTTAACTTATTATTAAAAATAATGGATTTATAGAAGAATTTAAGTTAAAAACACTAGAAAAATGGAATTTTGAAGAAGTTATACAAATGATTGCAGAAACTCAATTATTTTTAAAAGTAATAAAATATATAAACTTTCAATTGTTTTCTATTCTAAAAAACAAACACCTGTTGAATATTTTTATTGAAAAGTTAAAAGTTCTAGAGATATGCTTACATAAAAAACTGTAAAATAAATAATACCTGATTGTTTAAAAAAAAACTAAAAATTCACATTGCAACTATGTCAAAATTATAAAATTATAAAACAATTAAAATAAATTAATTTCAAATTAAAAACCAAACAGGCGACAATTGACGTCATTTTGATACGAGTACCAAGTGAAAACTGATTTTGTTAAAATTGTTAAATTATGTTAATTTATTATTCTAATTATTTGCCAATTTTTTAGTTGTTTAAACATCGAAACGTGGCAACTTTAAAAACATTGTTTATGTTTATTGTTAAAGTTTTATCTTGTTATAAGAACAAATCTGGTAATTTAAAAAAAAACTCCATTTGAAATTTTCAAAACTCAAATTTAGTTAAATTCAATAAAGTTCTAATATCGCTAATCTTATGTACTTTATCAGACGATCAAAATAAACTATTTCTCAAATTTATAGAAAAAAATAAAGGTCCATTAAAATTTCAGCCATTTCAAGTACTGTAAGAACCTTGAGAATTTAAATATTCAATATTATATTTTATTACTGAACTGATACAAATTATTTTTAATATATTTTAATTTTATTCTTAAAAATTGCCATCAGAAACCAAGAACACAAAGTGAAAATTGTTTTTAAAATTTCAGTCAGTTAATTTTTAAGTAATTAAATATGTTTACCCGGAACGATGATTATTTATAAACTGCAAGAATGATTATCTTTTTTGCACTGACTGTAAAAAATAAGAAACTTTATTGTTAACTTATAAAACCGTGAGTTTTTTGTTATCAAAACAATATTTGGACTTTTCAAAAGATTTTAATACATATAATAAGGTTTTCACAAGTTTTAGATTATTCAATATTTTCAACATTGGGAAAACAATATATATGAAAGCAAGACACCTAACCTTTATTTTTTCAACCGAAAGAAGCATGGAGATATTCATAATGGAGCGCTCACAGCTCTTAAGCCTGTCTGCAGGTTGTCAAGGTAACGTACAAGGCTGGAGTCCCATGACAGCGTTTTGCGTTGCGTTGTAATAAGAGAGAATGCAGCAAACGTATATTTGCGTCTTTTTCTCTCCCATTACGACGCAACGCAAAACGCTGTCATGGGACTCCACCTATATCTCTGTCATAGGAGAGAATGTATGCATCTCCTTCTAATTTACCTGAAGGTATATTACGTTCCCAATAACCCTGATACAAGGCTATATCTGTCCTTTTCTATCTCATGCTTTGCATTCGCGAACGACGTTAACGAAACAGTTGTGTGCAGTTGTGCTTCTTTATTGTTTACCTTTTCGCGTCATTTAAACCAATTTATACCGGTCAGTGCCATTTTTGTTGGGCGATAACTGTGTAGATCGCACTTAATCCAGAAATTTTAGGTCGAACACTCTTTTAAATATAAATATCTCCTACTAACAAAATAGTCACAAAACGACGTAAATTTAGTCAGAAATTCTGACCTTTCTATAAACTATTTTTGTTACAATTTCAGTCACAGAACGCTGGTGTAGTCAAGTAAACTAGTGAGGTTTTTTTTTAGTGTCGCCGACCTTTTTTCATTAATTTTTTACCAACTCTAAAAAATTAATAGATACCTACCTGTTTATAAAAATAATAGTAAATCATATTATACATATCCTTTAAATCGATAGATACCAGAAAATCACACTTACGGATTTTCTCAGTCTGTAAATAACACAAAATACCGTTATTTTCTGTTACTCAATTACAATTTTTTCAAAAAATTCTAAGTTTCTTTTATAAAATGAAAAACAAATTTTGCATACTTAATTCCTATTTCCAATCACAATTTTTCAACAAAATTCTGTTTTTTTTTGGAAAAAAGGAAATAGTTTGCACCATTTTTGTATTTCTCAATTATAATTTTTTAACAAAATTTTAAGTATAGAAAGAAGAATAAATGATTATTAACCACATTTTTTACAAATTTTTAAATTTCTTAATATTTTTAACAATTAATTTTGCGCAGCTTAAATATATGAAATAAAATACTTTCAATAGAAAAACTCATATAATTAAAATAAAATTAATTGAAAAATCGCAATTAAAAAGTAACACTTTCCGAAAAATGAACCAAATAAATGAAGAAATTGGCATAATTTATATTTTATAACCATGTAAAATATTTGATTAATGAAGCTCAAGATTATTATATATTTTATTAATTAATTGAGCCGTAGCGTGCAATAACAGCATCTACGCGCGGGCTGTCTTTCCCAACCGCAATATTTATACTTTGAGTTGCATAGAAGAGACCAAAAGACTAGAGTTTAGTCTCTTTATTGGCAAAGTAAATATTGCGATTGGAAAAAGCCAGCCCGAGCGCCGTTTCTGTTATATTGCACGCTACGGCTCAATTAATTAAAATCTAAAGTTTAATAGATTATAAAAGGTGTTTAAAAACAGGTTTTAAATTTAGAAAACTTTGTATATATTCAGAAAATTATAATTTTAAAGAATTTAAAAAAATGTTTCTTTCATAAATACGAATTATTCAACAAATTATATTTAACTAAAACAACTTATCTAATAATAAATTTAATTATAATTCTTTCTATATTAAACAAAATGATGTATTAAACAACATAATTTTATTCTTTTTTTTTAATTTAGCAAAATACCTATTAAAAATTAAAAATTATTATTCTTGTTCCCAATGATGATAATAATAATAACAGCAAATAGTTTTATTATATTAAATTAATATACAGAGTGTGGCTAAAGTATGGAACCCCTTAAATATTTCTAAAAATTGTACATTTTCGGTCAAAATTTTTGTATATTCTATACTTTGTAAAAAATAATATATTATTCATTAATAGTATATTATAATTTATAATAAAGGATTTTTTGCCCATCTATCGATATCTATAACATTAACATAGTTTTTCGATTCAAATTGTTTTGTAAATGAAATTGCCGTGTGAGTGTCAAAAGTTGGACAATTAAATTAAACGGATTATATAAACAAAGAGGTTAAATTATTCTATATATATTTAGTGTACCAATGTAATAGTTGCTTGCTTGGGATTCCCGGTTATTATGATTTATCAAATATAATTAAAATTAATTAATTAATTAATTAAATTAAATTAAATTTATAGGTACCTAGTTTATTTATTTAATAATATAGACGGGCAAGGCAAATTATATATATATATGTATATACATTGTGTAATATATATTTTCTATTTTAATTACCTTAACTAAATACCTAACTAATCATTTTTTAATCTTAACTCAGTCCGCTGAGCTCTCCAAAAACAATATTTTGAAAGCCTTAACCATGTTTAAACATAGTTTCATGAATTTATTTAATTAATTAATTGAAATGAAATAATTAGTTAATCTTTAACGTCGGAGATTTTTGATAAAACAAGGTAAGTTACCTTGTTACTTGTTTTATGAAATGAAATATTTTGATATAACTATATCAAGAAAATGATTTAAAACTTCCATAAAATTATTATATTTTTTAGTAATTTTTAAAGAGGAAAATAAAATCGGTCAAAAAATATTTTGTTTAAAATACAAAAAAGTTATGATAAAATTATGATTTGAAATTAGATAGAAAAATAAACAAGTTTTTTTTATCATTTTCAAAACAATGTTTTTTTCAAAAAAATGCTTTAAAAATAATAAAAATCATTTTTCTTATTCGGCAAATTTTTTTTGAATACAGAAACATATTTTTTACATTACGAATTGATTTTAAAATCTATCAATTTGAAAAAAAAAATTCAAAAAGAGTCAGAATATTTTCTGACCGGTTTTTTTTATAACCATTGATTGCCTCTCTAAAAATTACTATAAAAATAATTTTATGAAAGATTTAAATCATTTTCTTGATATACCTACTTGTTAAAAAAATGTGACACTATTTTAACACCTTTTTGAACATTTTATGACACTTTTGACACTATTTCACTTTGCGAAACTGAGTGAGAGGACTGTAATTAAAAAAAGATAAACATTTAATTTAATAACAATAAGAAATTAATTTTTATGTATGAAATAAAAGTAAATGATTACATTGAAATTTATTGTTATTTTTCAGCAGGAGTAAAAATACACGGAATTGATATGGGAAATTCTTTTAAAAATTGATTTGAAAATTCAATAGATCCAGATCGAAAAGTATTTTTCTTTTCCGACACACCCGCATTTAATGAAAACATTTTGTAATCGGTTTGCTAAACGCAAAGAAGTTGAGGGTAAGTACGCGCTTATGTATTTAATACAAATTAATTTTTTACAATTTAATATTAATTTAGGTAAATCCATATGAACCCATCGTGAATAATAATTTACATTCTGGAACAAGATTATGCTCAAAAATAACCAAAAAACATGTGCACAATGCAAAAATGATAGCCTGCCTAAAATGCGAATATTTATATATATTTTTCGCAAAATTTAGCGAAACATTAAACAACATGTTTGATGCATTAATTCGGACTTCTTATAATATAAAATAATGATTTTAACACTTGATCCTCTTTAATTATTATCGGAGTAATCGTTGCCTTCATGTTTTATAACAATATTTTTAAAGTTGATTTATTTAAAAAAGGTTTGAATTTGAATGTTTTGAAAAATCTTAATTCCTATGGAAAAATAATAATAATTAAATATTTAAAAAAGAAATGATTGTTTTCGAGTAATCTTACAATTAAAGATATTCGTAAATAAATTTAACAGAACATTTTTTTCAATAACATTTTTTCCTTTATTTTCTAAAAATTCAAAAATTTTCAGTTTCATTTTCAATTAAATTTTCTAATTGACAAATATAATTTATAAACATTTTTTTCCCTTATTTTTAAAAAACTTAGAATTTTATTAAAACAATTGAAATTAAGAAATAGAATTGATGCAAATTATTTCCTTATGAAAATTGAGAATTTTCTACAAAAATATTAAAAACAGGAAAATCTAATATGTTTTTCTTCCCAAAAGAAAAAAATGAGTTTGTAAACAATATTGTTATTGAGAAATAATAATTATGCATAAAATGGGTATACATATAGGACCTATTTCTTACTTCTTAATAAAAATTTTTTAACAATTAACAATTGTCTAATATTTTTTATAAATGAAAGGGAGAATAATTTGCATAATAATTTAGATCAGTCAAACGAAATTGGTTATTGAAAAAAGCATATGACAAACAAAATATTTTTATTATTTGTATATTTTTTATTTGTTAATCTTAATTTTATTTTAATTTTCTTATTTGTAATATTATTTAATTATAAATCATGAAAAAATACCTGCATAAACAATATTTTTCAAAGAAAAAAAAAAAGCATACACAGAAGCTAACTTTAAACTGCGCACAGAATGAATGAAAGAATACGAAGATTAATATAATTAATTAATAATTAATATTTTAAGTAATTGAATTATGCGGCATATGCTCAGGAACATTATGATGCTTTGCATAAAAAATTATGCTTTTTAATGCTTTCGCAAATTGCGATTATTATTTAAAAAAAATACATTTTAATGTGAATTTTAACACTATATAGATTACAATTTTGAAATTTTACTTTAATGCTCAAGCATAAAGTTCCTATCTCTATAGGAATCAATTGTAGAAATTTGATATTTTTTTCAGTACTTTTTATAAAATTCCTTGATTTTTCATATAGAAGTCACTAAAAGTATATGAAAATTTCCGAAAATTAGCCCTCATCCTTAAACGAGCTTAAAGACGAAGCGAATTCATTACTTCATTAGCTCTTCCAGAATGAATTTTATTACCCCAGTGATGGGAAAATAAAGGGCAACGCATTGGAAAAAATGTACATTAGCTTAATAATGCTGATCATTCTCTCATAAACATAACAAGTCCAGTTCGCGTCCAGTTTCATGCAGTTTCACCTGTGCCCGCAATATGTATATATATAGTCTGTCTTTGTATTTAGCAGTCGTGGTGTTCAAGTGAGTGTATGCGCTCAGATATAGATAGCGCAGATCTTGCATATACAAGAAAATGACATTTGTGTTGTATCGTCATCATCGCAAAAGTAGAGTGAGGCAGGGGCCACCCACTCTTTCCCACAGCAGGTTTTTCCCACGCCCTCCATGGTAACCCCAACATCCTTTTGCGGCAGCAATTCCACGGTGGGTGAGAAGGGAAGCTTCACTGTTCTAGCGGCGAGTCGACTGGAGTGGAGGGGCCAATTTTTAGTGGTGGGAAGAAAGAATGGGTTTGAGAGAGGTAAGGGAAGAGAAGATCACTCGCGTATGACTCGGATCTTACTCGAATACTCGCTTTTAAGAGTGTTATGTGTTGTGCATTGCTACAGAGAGTCGGAGATGTTTTCGGGTCGATTTCGCCAACTGTAGTCAAACAATAGGCGCACAGCGTTATTAACTCTCCTCCATCTCTCTCTGTGACTGTGTTTACGCCCTCTTTGAAAATATAAAGAAAAGTTTAAAAAGAACACTTGGATTTTATTTACAACTTATCGTCCACCTTTTCTCCTCACTCTTTTAATCTCTTGTTTTTGTGTCTAAAATTTTGATTATTCCCGCGAATTACACTACCAACATTCGGAGTGTTTTGAGTATAGGATTTAAAGAGTTGAAACTATCGCGCACGTGCAATAATATTCACGCATCTAATATGTTGGCAGGACTGTTCGGAAAATTCAGAAAGTGAACAGGTGTTTTTTGAATGGAAAATGGATTAGTTTCGGCCAAGCAAAAGATTGATCAGAGTGTATCAGTTTTCTTCTCAAATACAATTACTGTATATGTGCAAATGCAAGGAGGTTAATATTTGTGATGAGTCAATCATCAGAAGCAGCGGAAATTATTTTCATTCCAATGAGATATGGGAAAGTGCGACAGAATCTGTCAACCTGAGGTAAAATAATAATCATTACACTCATTTTGCATTGTAAATCGTTGTAAATAAAAAAATCAATCCATATAAATGCGTGAAAATAAATTATACATTTACTTTTAACCTCTAGATGTGTGAACAACTTTTTCATATAATTTCTCTTTAAATTTCTATTTAAACAAATAAAATATGTTTTGCCAAATGTTTCTTAAATGTTTTAAACAGCTTATTAACAGTGGAGAATTGTGGCAAATTTTTTAAAGTTTATAAATACTTTAATAAGATAAAAAGAAATGTATTTTGTAGCATTAAAAGAAATGTATTGAGTAAATTATATTTAGGTCACTACGTGACCTACAGTGAATATAAATTTCTTTTCATTCAATACCAGTGGTTAATTTATCCAAAGAATTCAGTTTTGAAAATATTACAATTATACAGCATTTAAATCTGACACAAAAACATAACCTGAAAATGTATACTTATCCCTTTGGGGGGTGTCGTAAAAACATAAACTCATTCAGTTGTCCAAACATCCAACAATCGAATAGCTTTTAAGAATACACTTTTATTCTATATTTACATAATATACAAATTATTTATTTAATACTTGATTCAAAATCATAATTTTTTTCATTTTTTTAAATAATATTTACATATCATGATTAACGATGTGAGTGATGTTTATTTTGATTAAAGTTTAAGTTTTATTTCTTGTTTTTGAACATAATTATATTTATTTTAAGTAATTAAATTCTAAAATAACTTTTTTAACAGTTACATATTAATTAAATTTAATTTGGGAAATATTTTTGCTGAGAACAGTTGCAATTTTCATAAGGTCAGGCCTCGGATATTATGAATTTTTCGACTTTTTTTTTAAATTTTGCTATAAAATACCACATTTTTAGTATAAACTATGCAACTTATTTAGATTATTCTAGTGTATTTTATTTATTTACAACAAAAGATTCCGAATTTGCAAAATTTTTAAAAAAAATTTAACTCTCAAAAATTTTAATGTAAAATCTTCAAGTGAAAATTTAATATAAATGAAAATTAATAACAATTAGTTTCTAAAAATTATATTAAAATATTTTCAAAAAATGTAATTCTTAGAATTTTTTCATTCTAATTTTCAATATATTCAATTACATATTTCCGAGAATTCAAATACAGTACCGTCCGCAATTGTCAGTCCACCCATTTTTAAAGGAATGACAAAAATTTTTTAACATAAAATTCATGAAAACTAAAATTTTTTTTGGTTTATATTTTGAAAGACGATAAAATTTTGAAAAGAATAAGACCTTACAGAAGTCATTTGGCCAAAATTTGTAGAAGATATTCCTAAAAATCGTCATTTTCAATGTTTTACAAAAATTTAAATAACTTCTAAAATAAGAAACGCTTTTTAATAATCTTAGGCTTATTTTAAAGGTCTTTTTCTACGGAATAAGAATTACTTATAGGCATTAACCTGTAATTTTTAACTTGGAACAAGCATGACGTCAAAATTAGACAAAAAAATTGTAGAAATTTGAAATCAATTTTTTGTACTAAAAACTATTCTAGAACATATATAAAACATGATATGGTGTAGATTTTTCAAGAAAATTTAATAAAAATATATGTTTGAATTTCAAAAATTATTTTTCTTTTAATAATATTATTTCAAATTTTTTGAATTTTTTTGTCCAACTTTGACGTCATGCTTATTCCAAGTTAAAAATTACAGGTTAATGCCTATAAGTAATTCTTATTCTGTAGAAAATGGTCTTTAAAATAAGCCTAAGATTATTAAAAAGCGTTCATTATTTTAGAAGTTATTCAAATTTTTGTAAAACATTGAAAATGACGATTTTTAAGAATATCTTCTACAAATTTTGGCCAAATGACTTCTGTAAGGTCTTATTCTTTTCAAAATTTTATCGTCTTTCAAAATATAAACCAAAAAAAATTTTACTTTTCATGAATTTTATGTTAAAAAATGTTTGTCATTCCTTTGAAAATGGGTGGACTGACAATTTCGGACGGTACTGTACATACAAAAAGTAGTAACATAAAATTTTTTTACAATTATTTTTAACATTTTGTAGAAAATCATATTCAAAATTTTTAATTAAAATTCTTCAAAAAATTAATTAGATAATTATAGATAATTTATAAGAATTTTTAAATAATTTATTTAAAATTATTATGGCAAATAATTTATAATTTATAATTTATAATTATAGATAATTATAAATTATACAAAATTTCTTTTTATATAAATTCAATTATTTGCGAATAATTGAGCGGATGGGAAGAAGAACTCGCCGAGCGCTCGACCGAAAGGGATAGTTCCAGTCAGGTAGCAGTGTATGGCCCAGAGGCGCTCACTGCTACCTGACTGATATTATCCCTTACAACCACGCGCTCGGCGAGTTCTTCTTCCCATCCGCTCAATTACATTACAATACAAATTACAATATTTATAATAAAAACTAATTCTCTGAAATGTTTTATCATAATTTTTTAAGATTGAATTACCTTTGAACAATGTAAATTAAAATTTCTTAAAATTTACTTTTTTGAACTTATTAAAATTTCGGAGAAAACATTTATAATTCAAATTCTTCAAAAATTTTATTATTTTTTATATTTTTTAGAAAATTAATTATTTTTAAAAGATTTTTTTTTATCAAATTTCAATTACTTTTTAAAGATTTTACCAAATTTCAATTATTTTTTAAAAGATTTTACCAAATTTCAATTTTTTGAACATTTTTAATTCTATATAATTATAAAACTATTGCCTTTCAAAAATTATTTTTAAATAATTTTAAAAAAAAATAATATTAGGAGAGAGAGTCTCCAGTTATGAGACAGTCAATTTTTTTTAACATGCAATATTAAAAAGCCGATTGGTTTATATAAAAACATTTATTTTTATATGAGCCAACTTTTTCGTGTACGCCGAAGCGGATATATAAACTGTTTTTGTTAAATACCAACACTGTGTGTGATAATCGACTAGAAAGCGTTTTTTCAATAAATACAAAGTACTTTTTTTCCAAGTTAATTAATTGGAAAAGGTAAATGTAATGCATTTTCTTTTAGTGTTTTCCTTATATTTTGTGATGCAATATTGCATTGTTCCAATCTACGGTTGAAAATAATTTAATTTTCCTTTTTCAAAATAGCGCCAATTTCTGGGTGTGAGACACAGCATATCACCAGTTGTGAGACGGTGTCAACACCCATCTGGGCAGCATAAAAAATACGACTTTGCAGGCATACTATTTAAATGTTGTTTTGATTTTTTTTTCTAGTATTTTTAGGCATGTCAAGTGGAAGAAAGTCAATTGATTCAGAAGAAATCAATTTTAATGCTCTTGTTGAAGCTATTAAATTGTGTTTATTTGATAGTCACATTTTGGCGAATAAATATTATTATTTAGTATATAATAATATATATTATTAATATATTTAATTATTTCTACTAAACATAAAGTTTTATGTCAAACTTAATAAATTTTAGCAATTTTTAATGAGTGTCTCACAACTGGAGACATTTTTTTTTTTGAATAAAGCGATGTGCTCGGAAAATGTATCGTGAAATTTTTTGAGTTCATCGAAACACTACACTTTCTTTTAATAAAAGTTGCGTATTTCTGTTACCTTTCGAACGGTGTATTTTATTTACAATTTCGTTTACCCGTTTACAATTTACGGGTCAAAAATAAAACCCGTCTCACAACTGGAGACTCTCCCCTAAGAATTTCTTAATTAAAATTTTTGAAAATAGATACTGACGATAATGGTCGTCAGCATATTCAGCAGAGACCAATTTTTTATAAATTAATTTATTCAATGATATTGATAATTATTCTTTAAATAACTTAATGTTATTATTATTATTATAATTATTTATTAACTAAATGTTATTTTACCCTAAAAATGTCTAAAATATGTCTATGGATGTCTTATGGACATTCTATGTCTCTGGATCAGACATGGAACGTCCTATGGATCGCTTATGGTCGCAATTTTCATACTTCAAGGACATGAGAAGTTAACCTGAACATTTTAGAACAATCTTAGGATATCTTTAAGACCTACTGCCAACTGAGATTCTTTTAGTGGTCTAAATTTTTTTTTGTTCATTAAAAAAATCAGTTTTTTTTATTAAAGTGAATTAATTGGCATAAATTATGTTCACATTTAATTTAAATTTATGCATATTAAATATCTCTTTTTAGTTTTAAAATTGTTCAGTCCTTACTTTTTTTAAAAAATAACTTAATTAACTTTTTTTTATAATATCTATTACAACTAGAGTTTTTAAAACTATGTGTTTAATTATTCTCAGACAAATGTCAATGGACTGACCCTATTATTAGTTTTTGTTTCTGTTTATTATTCTATAGTGTGCAATACCACAATGAATATTAAACAATTTTATTAATATTCAATATTATAGATTATTCATGTTTAGGAATAGTTTGCACTAACAGTTTAAAATTTTCGCAACTATTATATCCAGGTTTCCTATAGAACTTGGAAATCATAAAAAAGGTATGAAATTTAAAAAAATTTTCTAAATCTTTTCTCTCTCATTAAAAATTTACAAGTTTAGAAAAGAGCTTTTCTTCCAAACCAAAAATACACGGTTTCAATAGTTATTTTAAAATCAGCAATCATTCAAGAACGCAATACGATTGTGTCTTATATAATATTAGACGCAATTTAAATATAACGATTTGACATGTTGAATTTGTAAATGTAAACGCAATTTAGATGATGTACCTAACCTTTTGAGCAACAACAATTTCTATTGGAGAGATTCTGTACTAAACTCGCATGTACCATACAGGAAAAGACAGATGCTAAAACTCATTAGTGCAGCATCTGTTCGCTTTTAGTGCTACCTCTGTACGAAATTAATAATATCTGTCCCTCATTTCGATTGTGGTCATAAATTTATCAAGAATATTAGTTTTTTCAAATTAATAATTGAAGACCTCCACGGAATAACG